TCTCTGTTCAAATTTCCAACGGCTACACTGCTTGCCGCGGACCCCTTTATTTTAAAGGAGCATCGGGAATATGGCTGCCATTCCGCCATTTTGTAATATTATTTTATGAAAAATTTTTTACAAGTACTTCAATATATGCTTATTAACTTCACGGAGTATTAATACTTTATTTCATTTCCTTCCATTAAAAAAAAAATGTCGAAAAAGTGCAATTTTTTGGGCCGTTACAGTGGTGTTACCCCTTAATCAGCCACGCGAGAATGATATATCGATTCGCGGACTCTAACATCTAACAGATGGATGACATAGATTTACGTCTTTCCTTTATTTCGCGATTACGTAATGCATTTAAGTGAAGCTATTGCCTAGAAATTAGAGTTCGGACTTCTTTTGTTTATGAAAGTCGACGAAAGTAGAATGAATTATCGATAACTCGTTTGATCTCAACGTGAAACGATCGTTAAATATACCATGATAGCGAATTCCCTTTTATCATTGGCTTTAGTGGTAAGCTAATGACAAATATAAAATGAGCAAAACTCTTAGAAAATCTTACATGATCTTATGTAGAGTCGCTATAAATTAAATTCCTGCTTAAATCTATTATCACCGAATTATAGGTAAATCCATAATTCTTCTATAATTTTTTCCTAAGAGATAAGCACGAACCTCGCCTCGGGTCGAAATACGGATGACCGACGACTGCGCCGTTTAATCTACTGTCTTGTCTCGACATGTAATAACTGTGATTACCAGCGATAACTCGAAAATCAAGAAATTCAAACTCAAGGAACTCACCGATGAGCTGCCCTTCGGTTGTCCCGCAGAAGTTATCCAGCGATCCGTCGGACAACATCGGCATCGGCAAGGACGACGGGGGTGTCGAGGGCAGGGGGGTTAACTGCTAGTGAACCCACGAGGGGGTCGCGGCGGGGGTTGCCGCATTCGTGCTTACGTAGACGCCCGGCGCGTTGCCGGTCGTCGTGCCGATTACGACGCCCGTGTTCTGGGAAACGACGCCGCCGTTCTGGCCGACGACGTTGCCGTCGCTGACCTGTACCGTGCCCATCACTCCTTGCTGGAAGTTAAAGTCCAGCGTGCCACCCATCGATAGCTCATGCCTAATTACCTGTAATTTACGTGTCGAATCGCACGTTCAGACGTATATTTTACGAAGCAACGTTCTCTCTTGTAGCAATCCTTATCTGGTAACATGAATTTGCTGAATTCTTCGCATAATTTAAACTAGAATTATTCTCTAAAATTATTGTGTCTAACAGTGTCCGCGAAATTTTTGCTTTCACATCTATGTGAAATAGATACAATACTTACTTAGGATCTTACAATTTCTTAAAAATTAATAATGTTAACTACTGTACATACAGATTTGGTAAATAAAATAAAATGTCCGGATAAGGATTAATACAATATTTTGAGTAACGATCGAGATACAGATTTTGCGTAACAATCAGGAATCAATTGAGAAGCTCTTTGCATATTATATATTTTTTTTTATAAAAAAATTGTTTTATTTTTAACTTGGGGAAAGCCTCAGAATATTTGCATGCACGAAAAATGATTTTCTTATTTTAAAAATTCTGCAAATTTCTCAGAAATTTATCAGTTAGACGGTATCTAAACCACAAAACAGTATCTGCAGTAGTAACAGACGGAGCATGATCAGACTTACTTCTTCGACGTTGCAATCGAAGCCGCCATGCATCGCTTCGATGTTGATGTTGAGGTCATCGAGGGCGGAATGATTGAGCGCACCCATCAGCTGGCCCATCATGGTGCTGGCCGCGGCGGGACAGGGTGTCGGCGTGTTAGGTGGGCTAGGACCGGCTGGCCCAGTTTGTGCCGGCTGATGCTGCGACTGATGTTGTGGCGGCTGCTGCTGTTGCTGTTGCTGTTGCTGCTGCTGCTGTTGACGCTGTTGCGTCTGAATCATGTATTGCAGCGTTTGCTGTTGATTGCTGCCCAGTGTCGTAGGACTAGGCTCGCTCTGCTGATACGACGGTGACATGCCGGACGGTGACATGCCGGGACTCAGGTTCTAATTTTCGAATTTGTAGAAAAAAAGCGCGATATGAAGACAAAAATGTGATCGTAACAATTTGTATATTTGTATGTAATTTCTTATAATATAATTTATTTTATTACGTATAAATACAAGTATTTCTTTGATTAATAATGATTTACAAATGAAATATAAATATGTTTCTATAATTACTCGCGTTATGAAATATAGTACTATTTATATTCTTCTTTGTACAAATATCAGTTTTCTATATTTGCCTTATTCTTTATATATATCTCTCTCTCTGGCGTAATTTACCAGAAATAAATCTCGAAAAATTGAAAATTTTATTTTTTCTATCTATTCTAGGACAAATGAATTTTATTGAAAGAGATATAACGCATATATCACATAACAATAAATAAATAAATTAATATAAACAAAAGTAGATAAATTTTAGCATAATCTTAGTGATTCAATCTCTAAAAATTGATCAATTAAGCAGGTTGTTCTGAGTTTGGCCCGGGTGTGTTTGCATTTGTACCGTTATCGAAAATACGTTCCAATTCCATAAGCGTATGATGCTTTTTTAAGCCAGTTTCAATAATAAAATGTAAATAAGCTTCCATCGCACCATCGCAAATCTTTTCACACAAGACAACAAAAATATTGTTGTAAAAATATCGGCGTGGAAAATAACGAGCTCAATTTCCATAAAGAAAAGATTCCTCGGCTTCTTCGATAATAATTTTTCGATTATATCGTATTTATAATTAATTTTAAGAAATAATTAATTTCGAGAAATGATATTTATTAATCATTTCGGCCATTATCGTGGTTAACGTTATCTTTTCTCTTCTCTAAACCATATAGAAGCTAGATGGACACTTTATACATTTGTGTGTGTGTAAAACATGCTTGTGTAAAACATACATCGCGATCCTTATTGATTTTGCAACATTGCCAGGCCGAACATGCGCAACATAAAAACGCTGACGTCCTCCTTTGTGGAGAGTTGTGGTATCCTCGCGCGAAAAATCCGCCAAAAATTTCGGACTCACCATCTGACAGGCGCACGACTGCAGTCCGTGAATCGGACATCTTTGCTGATTGGCCGACTGCGGAGTAGGTGGCAGGCCATAGGATGCGGATGACGAAGTGCGTAGGCCGTTATTCCTCTGGTACTGCGATTCGTAGTAAGGCGGCGGCGGGCCCGTTTGCTGCTGATGGCTAGCCGGCGGTGATGTCTGGTATATTTGGTAGGGTTCCAGTTTCATCGTCTCGGCCAGGTTGCCTGCTAGGATCGTATCTGCTATCGGACACGATGCACCACATATTAATCGGACATGTGGATAGATAAACGGCAAAAAATCTATTTTATCTTTAATTTCAATTAGGATTAATTTTTGGTTATCACAAACATATTTATACATAACAGTATAATTTGTAACTTATACACGCTGTTCAATACAATTTTATAATATATGTATATAATAGAGACAAATCTTAGATACATCAAGATACAGAGGGATAGGGAAGGAAAAAGGGATAGGAGAAAGCGAAATTATCGTTAAATATATACCTAATTGCTGTTCCGGGCTGTAAGAAGACGCGTAGGTCGGTGTCCAATCTGGTTCTCCGAGAACCGCTGGTATAGGACTCAATCGACCACAGGAGGAAGCATTACTCGAAGCGCGAGGACTTGAATAAACAAAAAAATAATAATTAATTTCATCTTCAACCTCTTCTTAACCAAAACCATAATCAAAATCTTTCTAATTTTGCACGTGTATATTAAAGATTTTTTTGTGATACAAATGCATGCATGTGCATGTATAATGTATATAATATCTAGCTCTACACTATACGTTCGATCATATATATTGCCAAGCAATTAAATCCACTGCTCTGTTCCTGTAATACTTGCTTTGAAATTCTCTCGAAATTAAAAAAGATTGATTCGGTCAGTTTTGATATTATTCAATTCATATCAACTGATATGACAGTCCATTAAAAAGGGACATATAGTTTTAAAATAACTTTTCGATTGTATCAAAATCTTCATGTTCGTAAATTTCGTATTTTACTTTTAAATGGAAATATTAAAGCTCTGTCATACCGGAAGGTATCAGAGGACAGCTGGAATCCGCCGGCGGGCGGCAGGGGACTATCCGGGAACAGGTCCAGACCCTCTCCGACGCTACTGCTGGGACTGGACGTGGGCTCGGCCAGCAGTCCGCCGTTTCTCAGAGCCTCGGCGATCTTCTTCGAACGGCCGCGTCGTTTCTCCAGACTCCCGGTGCTCTCCATAGTGGTAGCTCTGCGCGACAATCACGATACATACGGCACTCTCGACACGGTTTGCGGTCAAAAGAGACGGGAAGACAGAAAGAGAGGCAAATTGCTGGCAATCTGGACTTACCTGCGACGAGCGGATTTGCCTGGCTTGGCGTCGCGATTGATCATCCACCAGGAACTCTTGCCGGTTCCTTCATTTTGCACCCGCATGAACCTGCTGTGCAGCGACAAGTTGTGACGTATAGAATTCTGCGAACAGAAAGAATAACATGGCTTATAATAAAATAGCGATGTGGAAGAAAGAGAGATTTCTTAAGTACGCGCATTATAGAAAACTATATAAGTCTTATTATTAAACAATCGATTTCATTATCTTACATCGTTTTACAAATAAAAATTAATAAAAATAATATAGTGATCGAACAGTCTCTGTGTTGCAGAATCGATAGGGGAGAAATTCTGATGCTACATTTTGTATTCGACAGTATTGGAATAGTAATACATCTGTAAATCGATTAGGATCATTTGAATTTTTTCCTACAAAGTTACTGCAGATTTAAATGCTTTTCCGCATAAATTATATAGGGGTATTGTTTTTATTCGACGTATATACCGCAGTCTCTATCTTTCGCAGCGAGATAGCATCCATTCTGTCGTATTATCCGTATATGTATGCATACAAGGGAGAGTATATGAGAATACACGAGAAAAAAATCAATTCGCAAGAAGTGAATCATAGAAGCCGCGCTTTATAGTTCCCCATCGTCTCCCTTCTGCCTTCTTCATTAGGCAAATTGAATCGGATATAGTAGCCGGAATCTTTCGAAAAATTTCGGAAAGCTTCTACCCTAATACGAGAGTACCCGTGTCGCGAAACGATAACAATTTCCTTTCGTCTTCGTCTCTCGATGCGCGGAGTCGGCGAGACGAGCGCGCGCGCGCCGAAGGATGCTTTCAGACAAAATACATACACGCACAAGACGGCGTGATAAATAAAAATGGCTTCTTTAAAACGGCCGTTATATCGCGAACGAGACAGGCGGAAGTTGACGCGAAGTACTTCGAAGAACTTTCTCAAACTCGCGCGCCACGGCGTTTTATCGTTTCGTTAAGTCACCCTCCTAAAACAGAGTCGCAGATTGTTAGCCTTTAAATGGACAGAAATAATCATAAAAATCCATTTTCTTTCTGACGATGTCATTACGGAATCATCGAACGCAAGTATTTCCAAGTCATATCGTGAATATATCTCGAAATTTTTTTAATAAAAGAAAATAGATATTTTTTTTTATATCTCTGTCTACATATATCTAGATCTATCTATGAATAGTTTATTTTTATAAATACTTTATGACATTTTGGCAAGTCATAAAATTGCGAGATATTTATCATCCAGCTGCTGCGTTCAATTTACTTGGACGTCTGACATGTGCACCGGACGCTTTAACATCCAAAAATTTATAACGTGGAAATGTAAGCGATGTATTCTTTACTGCCAGAAAGAAATAGCTCGCCTTCATGACGCATATCGCGTTCGTTGCTTCCACCCACAACATGTCCCTTTCAATATCAATCCGCGAAAAAAGAGACCCACATCCATCGGATGGTACGTACCATATAAAGTTTCGCTTGTGTTGTTGATGCGACGTAATACTGCAGTCCGAATGACCGTATAACAGACGGAATAAAGCTTAACAGACCGGCACGGCAGTCTCTACCCTTTGTTTCACCCGTTGCTAGTTTCCGGTTTTGATAAGCTCGTCGAATTAGTTGGTCACAAATGAGTCCCCCAATATAAATCTTAAGCTCCTCGTTACTTTTATCGCGGCTTAGTGCTCGCCCGCGTTTACTGCACCGACACTCTTTTCAAACTTGACCGATCGCCGGACTTCTGAATATATCCGGAAAGACGAAAAGTATTTATCGACAAGTTCGAGAAGCTGTCGGCGGGGAAAGGGAGGGATATCGCGCCGCCGGGATCCTTTTACGATCGCCAGCGCCAGACTCCTTTCGCCTTTAACCCCCGCGTGAGAGACTCGCGCTCGCTCGAGGGACAGACTACCCCTCCGATGGGACGATCAGCCATTTCAGTCGTGCAGTCGCGGACTATACGGCGGGAGTTTATAACCCCATCATCTACCCGCCTTTATCGGTGCTATGCTTCGAAGATGAAGACATTTTCGGCGCCACCGTTCTGATTTTTCCATCCAGCCGAGCTTTTGCGAGAGATTACACCGAGTAGATTTTGTAAAAATGTTTTAAAAAGTAACTGCAACTTCTTATGACAGAATTAACAATTTAAGTCGAAATGTCTAAAAAGAAAAACAATTTGCGAAATAATTGCTAAAATGTATAATTATCCGCTATTTAAGCGCGAATCTCTAACACAGAAATATTTAGGACGCGCGCGCTATTGTGTGTTTAAAAAAATCTCTTGTATCGAATAAAATAGGGGTTATTCTAATTATTAAAACCTAAAAAGTTTGAAGACATAAAAATTAAAAGAGCTGAAAATTAGATAATATGCTGTACTCATCGAGAAACATCATCGCCATCCTCCTGATATTAATTAGAATTATGCAAAGCACAACTATAGAGCTCTTCAGTGTTGTGATTAGCATTTAATTAAATTTACCATCTGTATTCATAATATAACTAGATATCCTTTAGAGAAGGAGATGTTCTATCGAGATTGCGTGACTGAATTTTAAGATAAAGATCACTTTGTCGATCTTTACGCAAGGCAAGAGAGTGCGCAGAACGAGCTCAGTGTTCTCTCTCTCTTTCTTCTCGAGTTCCGACTGCGATTCCCGAGCCGCCGATAAAGCCCCAGCACTTTCGTCCCAAAATCTCTATAAACCGCGCGGAAACAGCCTTCGTCGTCTAAGAGCGAAAAGAACGCGACGAAGATGGCCGCGCGCTGCCGTCGTCTAGATGAGGGCAAGGAAAGAGCGGTTATCTCGCGTCCGAAATGGACTGTATAACGCGCAATATATGAAACGTCAATATATACTCGTCCTTCTCGTACTTGTACATACGGTATTCGCTAGCACATCGTGGGCCAGAATACACGTGATAAGGAATGCCGAAATCAGCGGAAAGACGAGATGTCGGGCGAGCGCTCTTACTCGTAAGTCTTCAATTCAAGGTCGCTAGGGCGCGGAGCATCTGGGCAAACAACGGTGGCAATCAAGAGCCAGCATTAAATGCGAACTTTATGTGTCTTCGAAATTTGCCGTTAGAGTTGGTATCTTATCTTTCGGAGAAGAGGGGTATCAGTTATACGATTTAGTAAATAGCAAATCGCAAAAATGTCGTCAACATTTAAGCCCCACGTAGAAGCATATAGTTTGCACATATACGACTCGCGTATGCAAGCCCATGAATTTTTTTATCTATTGTATGTGTATCTGTTATTACCAAAACAAATAACCTTAAAAAAAAAACAGGATCGAGATAAAGACGTATCAATAATTTATATTTCATTAATGCTTTATTTTATTAACACTACTGAGGTCCGCATAATTTATTATACGATAAAGAGCTCTAAACTTGCCACTGATAAAAGGCACTCTTATCGCGTTTTGGTTTGTGTGCATAATATCGCGACGCGTACAATGCGCCCGGTGGAACGAGGACGGCATTCTTGCCGGCGATCAATTACATCTCGGTTTCGACAGATTGCAAATGGCCTTTCCGATACGGGGAACGCGGAAACGAGCGGACGATCGCTCGTCACAGGGAATTTGCGATGATGATTGGCGGTGGTGGCCAAGGAAAGGGACAGTTTGAATAATAAATCACGATCGTTAGGTAACTGCAAGCACGGAAGCTTTAATTTTTAATGCGCGCGTGGAAAGAAAGGAACCAGGTCCGGCCTATACGAACGATTTGTCTCGATCGCCGGGCTTCGAGGCTGCGCTCGCTCAATGATTCGACATGCACTCGCATTTCGTGATCTGCATGTGTCATTTCGTACCATCGAGCGCACGGAAAGGAACGGGAAATCCGTGAAGGAAATTACACAAGAGAGCTAAAAAAAGAGAGAATTTTTTTCTAATATATCTTCATGAAACAATTTCGCTTTCAAGAATAGAAAAGAGCGCAAATTAGAAGAAATAAAAAATTTGATGTAGCAAAAAAAATTACATAGTAATATATTAATATAATAAAAAACATGTATAAATCAGTGATATTAATATATTATCACATGATAATGCAATTGTGTCTTTTATGTACGACAGGAAAAATTTTGAAATAGATACAAATTAAGATTCAGATACTAATAATAAGTGTAATTAATTTTTATTAAATAAATATATATAAAAACATATATATGTTATATGTTATATAACATATATGTCATATATACAATAATTCTTTATTTATTTCTAACTATTTCATTCTGGTTGTTTATCGTATTACGAAATATTTCATCGTATTGTGTATGTAATGTAACAAAGTTTTTCGTGCATGATGAAAAATAATTACAGATAGCGAGTAATTGTAGATAGCCGTATAATCGCGGAAGGAAACAAAGCCCTACATCAATTTTTACGGACGTGGTTTTTATCTTGTCATGTGTATCTTACGCTTCTGAAAGACTTTCTTATCGGAAGGACGTGGGTATCAAAGTTGCGGTTTGCGGGTAGCCCAAGACCACGCGTATATCTTATACGATGATTTTCGTCGCAATAGCGAAACCTCGTAATCAGACTCGAGATAAAAATAATACATCTAACTTTACCGGAGAATATACAGAAATTGTCCGATAGCTCTGACTTTAAATGATTAAAAGGATTCCGTTAAGCAATTTAATTTGGGGAAATAATTTAGCAAAGTATTTACGATTTAACCAACAGTAAACCATGTGATACTTTTTGCATCTTATTATATCGAATACTGATTAATTTAATTAAACATATTTCAATTTTTCTCTTGTAAATAGACAAAGTGAATTTGGTTGAATAGGTACTTCCTAAAATTAGACAAAAGCATTTCTTTAACAAGGCAATAGAGATTTCCCTTTGATCTCAGTTCTTAATGTACGATGAACTCGAGTTCTGAACTTGCCTCAACATCATTTAACAAACGAATTGCAAGGGAAATTTAAAATCTATAGCTTCTTTGTTAAGAAGACCATAATGTGGTTCATGGTTAATTTAATTTAAAAAATTAATGCCAAATTATACGCTTAAATAAAATAAATTCTGCAAGGATTAAAAATCTATCTTTAATTTTTGCAATGGTCGATTGAAGAGCGGCCATTACTTCA